TTTTTTATAATGAAAAAACATTTGAAAAAATTTGCCAGGGTTATGAATCATTTAGCTTAACTGTGGGTCCTCATCCACCCCTGTATGTTCGTTAGTTTTTATAGCTCTCACTATAGATATGAGCAAATTTAGGCGAGTTAATGTTTTCCTGCAAACATTCCTACATTTTCCTAAATGGCATTCATAATATGGATCTATGTCACACCATATTCACACTCCTTGGCAAACAGGGAATTGTGAATTGCTCCGTAATAATTTGTCAATGCTTAGAACGACCCAATATAGTTTGAATGATAAAAGTCCTTCAGTTATATTTATTGGAAAAAATAAAAGCATGTTGATATTTAAGACTGAGGAAAGTTTTTGTTTTAAAAATGTATTAACATGGGATATTTAAATATTCTAAATATTATGAGGTTATGATTCTACAATAAAAGATGACACTAACTTCTCAGGCGTCTTTACAGGGGTTCCAATCAGCAACTGAGGTAATGTTGTCACCAACTACATTCACTCCGTCTCCTGCTATTAACTTGTTGCATGTCATTAACATAGAAAGTACTCCTGCATCAGTTCATTAGTTTGTTTTTGGTGTACCTGCTCCGTCTTCTCAAACCCCCAGTCAGTCGTAGCAGACGGCTGCTCACACTGGGCCAGGTTCTGGTTCTGCTGCAGGCTTCTTCCTGATAAAGGAGTCTTTTTCCTTTCCATTGTCGTTGCATGCACTTTACTGCTGAGGGATTGCTGTAAAGTCAACGACAGTGCAAGAGATTGTCTACTGTCACTACGTGCTTGTCCAGGAGGAGTGAATGCTCCAAGTCAATAATTGATTTTGAATAATAAACTGCACCTAATTCACTGTTTGATAATTAGGATCAAGTGGAATGTGTGTGGCTGAACTGAAATGTATTTTTTGTAATGAGCCTTCGGACGACATTTGTTATGAAATGGCACTACATAAATAAGATGAATTCAGTTGAACTCAGATTCATACCATCTAAAATTCAGTTATTTTTAAATTAAGAGAAAAATGACTGACAAAGTGTTATCTAAATGTTTTAAATAATAAAAAAATCACCTTTTTAAAGAATTTGTTTTCAATATTATTGTATGTGTATATCTGTAGTATGACTCATACCGCCATGTTCATTTTCTCCCAGATCCAGCCCCTGGTAGGCGATACACTCCCCCCTCCACTTCCCTTGCCTCGGGGGGGAAAATGGCCGAGGCTTTGCCTCTAGGAGCCCAGGAGGCTGGTGGAGGGGCCGCCGTGATGGGCAAGTTCCGCATAACGGACCACGGCATGGCTGAGGTACAGCAACAAACTCTTCAATAATTGAAGTACTTTGATTTATAATTGAAAACAAAAAATGTGATGCCCTTTTTTATCTTTGTAGGTGATTTCTGATCATCCAGGAGAGCTGGTAAAAACTGACAGCCCAAATTTCCTCTGCTCTGTCCTGCCCACTCACTGGAGGTGTAACAAGACTCTTCCCATTGCTTTTAAGGTGTGTACTAAACATTTTTGATTGGCACTGCACACACACACACACATATATATATATATATATATATATATATATATATATATATATATATATATATATATATATATATATATATATATATATATATATATAGTTATAAGAAGGGAAATGTAGATTTAGTTGCTGGAGTTTGGATCAGCAAGAGTAAACCCTCACTGAAAATGTATTTGCGCTGGAGCCTTTGCTTTTTGCCCTGATAGAAACTCTCCAACCTGAAGTTCATATGTTAAAATTCTTACAGTGGACCCCCACCTACTTCCAGTTCAGTTTGAGGATTTTTTCATTCATTACTATTTAAAATATTTGAAAGCTTGAAATATCTGTACCCCTCCAATGGAGAGAAGGAAGACTGTGAATGTTAACTTTATTAGCAGCAGTGCTAAGGTAGTTTCCATTGTTTCTATCAATTTTAAGGTATATTTAGTGTTTGAACTATTAAAATAGCCAGTTATTGTTTTAGAGATGTCCAGAATTCACGGACTAAAGCTGTTCTCTCTAACCGGGGATCCACTGTACATTCATTAACATAAACATCAACTGAAAAAGTGTTTATGAAAGATTTAATTCTTTATTGAACTGTGTTCAAAATATTTAGTCTTTTTTTTCAGGACTAAATTTATGGACTGTGATATTTAGCAGAAATATATTAATATAATTTACTGCTAATAAAAAAGTGATAATATCTCCAAACATTGTTTTATCTGTATTTCAACATTTTAGTCCTATATGACCACTTCATTCTTTTCATTCATTCCCAGCATTCTGAAAGCACACTGTCTGGTGTTTTATTTGTTTCCAGGGTATTCACTCACATGTGAATGTATGGTAGGAGGCTTTTCTCCTCTTTCAGACTCAATGCATTTGTGGAACAGCATCTCTAAGCTGCAGAACACACAGCAGATTGATTTATTGAGTTTTATGCATTAGTCTTCCCACATGCATTTCTCTGCTTGTTTGTGAATTTGGAACATAATGCATCATTATGAAGCATAATGAGTGGCTGTAGCTACGTCTCACTGAAAATGGATGTAATGCACATATAATGCACATTTCATGCACACCCATAAAAGCGCCCATCTAATTGTGTGTTATAGCACAAACATGATGGATGTGCAGACAGGCATTTCATATTTTTTTCTACAGATATCTGCACATTCAAAATTTTGCTGCATTTTTTTGCTTGATTTTTCAGTCTTTTACTGCCCTTATTTTTTTTGACAACTCATAATGCAAACATCAACATGTGATTATTGAAGTACATTACAATCAATGTTTAACTCACAGATTAATGGCAGCTTGTCAGTCAACACAGGTTGCAGTTGTTTGCTTAGAGAGCTCTATGTGAGAAGAGAAACCGTCCATAGTACTATATCTATCCCGGACATTTGCACAGCAATGGTAGATTAGCGTTTTTATGGAAATAAGCCTTGCTGGGCCTCAATAACAGCAGGTGTTAAGGAGAAGAATGGACTCTAAACCCCTCGCTTTAAATTTTCTAAAGTATTCACACCCATTAACTTTTTGGGATTTTGTCCCACCCAAACTACAAACCTTAATTGATTTCGGGATGTGATAAAATGGCACAAAGCAGTGTGTCATTGTGAAGTGTGTGATAGTATGAAAAGTGCTATATAAAAAAAGTTTGATCAGTCAATTAATTTGGCTGGGCTTTGGCTAGGCCACTATAACACATGAATCTGTTTATCATTAACATCTGTTGTCCTGCTGGAAGGTGCTGGAAGTGTTCAACAGCCTGTAATCTTTTTTTCTTTCAAGTTTTTACTGGATTTAGCCCCATCCATCTTCCTGTCAATTCTGACCAGCTTCCCTCACTAAGCTGGTGTATTCAGGGTGATGTAAAGTGTTAGTTTTTCTTTACATGTTGTCAACAATTCAATTTTGATCCCATCTGAACATAGCACCTTCCTCCACGTTTGCCATTTCTCCATCTGAGCGGTAATTCTCCGCAGTTCCTCCAGAGTTACCACAATCCTGTTGGCTGATGCTTTGCTACATCGTTATTTTCCATCCTCTTCACAATTATGCATTGCGTTGTGTTGGTGTGACAGACACCATGACAGACCAACACATGGTGTGACATGTTGGTCATGTGTTGGTGTGACCAACACAGAGGATTAATATTAACCTTCTAATTACAGTGTTAATTGAGGAGCCATTTTGTGATGACTTCATGAAGGAAGAGTTTCAGAAAGAGCAGGAGTTTTTAAAGTAATAGAGACCNAATTTCAAGGCGTTAAATTACAAGGCAAAATTTCTTTTTAATTACTTTCGATATGTATAGCATTTTTTTAAAGAGCTGAAGTTAACATTGTTACTTGATTGTGCTATACAATGGCACTCTGGAAAGTACTCCCCCTTAATACTTTTGGTTGACTTCAAGAGACTTATAGATGTGTCAGTCTGTACCAAGTAGGACCCGCAGAACTGAAGTATCTGTCTAAATGGTGTGATACATTTAAGCAGAGATAATGTGTGAACAATAAGAACCAAAGGTTTCATTAATAACATTATAATGTTAACCTCTAAGTTTTAACTTTCAGAACTTTTATCCATTTCCCAGTAAGTAGAATAAAATGGTATACAAAGCTAAACATAATTTCATTTTATTTTGTATTAGGGTCTAACAAGACAAAAGTTTCTAGACTGTCATAATTTTGTTTGATGTTTGTCCAGTTAGTGACCCTGGGCGATATTCCTGATGGTACTTTGGTAACTGTGATGGCTGGAAATGATGAGAACTATTCAGCAGAGCTTCGCAATGCCACCGCGGTCATCAAGAATCAAGTGGCCCGATTCAATGATCTGCGATTTGTCGGCCGCAGCGGGAGAGGTATGGATACATGACACAGAACGTGAAATACTAGGGAGAGTCTGTGGTTCTTCTTGTCTCACCATGGTTGAATTTTAATGGACATGTTTTGAACAGGCACTTAGTGCTGAATGGATAAAATAGGGGAAGTACATGTGAATAAGAACAGCATTCATTCAACTTCCTCCTAGCATTTCATTTAGTATCAACCTGACTCTGCCAAGCCACGCCCTCCCCATTTCTGTCTCTAACGGAAACACTGGACCACAGTTACTCTAAATCAGCCACAGGCAAATGTCCCTTCCTATCTATTTAAAACAGCACTCCTGTGTACACAAATTCCTTCTGCTCTTCCACACATTTAGGAATGTTGAAAGCTGTGCTTAGTCTTTTGCCTTGTTGAAAATGTAGACACAACTGACAGAACTTTGTTGAGGGATTTCACAGTGCTGCAGAAAAAAAAACCCATGAATGCACTTTTAGTTAAAAGCAACACTGAGGTGGGTGAATTTCCAGCTTTACTACAGTGCCACAAATATATAAGTTAAAGATGTGGATGTCTGTATCACTTCACTACTGCAAATCACTTGAAAACAGAGCTGCTGCAGGTGGTTGAACAGCAAAATGTGTTTCTGATATGCAGCAAAATCATTACCTGATTGTGTAATTCTCTGACATTTTGGTATTCCTTATATTGCTGAACTCGACCTGTGTTGCGAAAATTTCAGATTTTATTGGGATTTAATGGGACCAACACAAAATATAATAAAAAAATAATTTATGGCCTTAAATATTATGTACAAATAAGAATAGAGTGATGTGCATTTATATTATATTTAATAGTCCAAGTAATTGGCTTCAGAAGGATCCCTAATTGTACTCTGTAAATCATATTTTTAGCTTTCATAGAAGGTTT